TCCTCATCGACTGACCTCTATCGACATCTCAGACACCCCCCTGGACTGGTTTAATCCTGTCTTTCTGACCGCACTCAGTTCATACAGCTCAAGTCCTTCTGCTCCCAGTCTTCACCCATTTCCACTGGTGTTCCCCAAGGTTCTGTACTCGGGCCATAATCTGTCTGCTCCCGTTTGGACACATCTTCCATAAATTTGGTATCCATTTCTACTCTTATGTCGACGACACTCAGCTCTACATTTCATCAAAACCAAACTCCACCTTCTCATCCTCCACTCTTACCGACTGCCTTAGTGAGCTCAACAACTGGTTCTCTAACAATTTCCTCCAACTAAACCATAACAAAACTGAACTCTTCCTTGTTGGTACAAAAAAACTCTGTTTCCAAATCCCAACATCTTCTCTTCACTCTTAAATACTCCGTTCTTTCCCCCTCGCCTCAGGTGAAGAACCTCGGTGTCATCCTTGACACCACACTCTCTTTCAACTCACACATTAACAACGTGACTCGATCTGCCTACTTTCATCTCCACAACATTAACCGTCTCCGTCCTTCACTCACTCCCTGCTCCACTGCCATCCTTGTACACAGCCTGGTAACATCCAGGATTGACTACTGCAACTCCCTACTGTTTGACCTCCCCAATAAATCCCTTCACAAACTACAGATGGTTCAGAACTCAGCAGCCCGTGTAATCACTCAAACCTCATCCTGTGCCCACATCACTCCAGTCCAACAGCTCCACTGGTTCCCAGTTAAATCCCACATCACTCCAGTCCTACAGCTCCACTGGTTCCCAGTTAAATCCCACATCACCTCCTTAACTGTGTGACCTCCTGAACATCTCCACACCTCCTGCTCTCTAAGATCTGGCTCCTCCTCCACCTCTCAGCACCTCCTGCCCTCCTCAGCACCATGGGGAGCAGAGCTTTCAGCTCTGGAACTCACTGCTCCATGGATTACACAACACCAGCTCTCTGTCCCAGTTTAAGACTGGTCTGAAGACACATCTTCTCAGATTAGCTTATCACTGCTAACTCCTTTTGGTTGGTCATTGTACTTTAATATATGACTGTTCTGTACTCCTCAATGGACCACTACACAACCCTATTGTTAAATGTATCTACATTTGTTTGTTGCTATTGTACAGAGTCCTTGGGTGTCCTGAAAGGCACTTTATAAATAAAATGTATTATTATTGTAGTAAAAGTACTAACTGAGGCAGTATCTGGTACAGCAGGGCCTCAGCCTTGTGTTTCTCCTCGTGGTAGGCCTGTGTTCGCTCTTCCACCAGCTCTTCCAGGTTGTTGGCGTACTGCTCCATGCGTGACAGCAGGTTGTCTAAGATGTTTCTCCTGGACTCCCTGAACACAGAGCACTCATCTTATGAAGGTGAAAACATAAATGCATGCTTTGTTTATTAAATGGTAAATGGTCTGTACTTATACAGCACCTTTCTATCCATCCAGGACACTCAGAGCTCTTCACTCTACAATCTGTGTCCTCATTTACCCATTCACACAGCTCTCTATAATGCTGCGTTCACACCGAACACGATTTCAGCTTCAAAATCGCAGCCAACGCTGAAGTTGGACACTTGTGCACTTTGAGGTCAGACGCAGGTCAGCTCTTGAAGCGCTGCACGTCAACAGCCTCCCCGCCCCTCCCTCCTCTGTCGGGCTCTGTTTAATGTCGGACCAGGAAGTGGCTTTGCTTTATTTACAG